GACTGTAACTTTTTTACGGTTGCAAAGCGAAATAATAATCAAGAAGCGATTGTAAACATTTGCATATAAAACATAATGAGCAGAGACGAAAACATTGGAATGCATAATTCATACATTCCGGAGTGATGGAGCGAGATGTACGTTCGGATCGTTACAGCCATGACCCGCTTCAATCGCAATAAAACAATAAAAACAAAATCATCAATTTGTTTTCTTCAATATTATTCTTTTATTTATTTTTTTTTTGTCCAACATATGTCGGGACGCACAAACGTCTCTCTCGGAAATTTCCATTCGAATCGTGCACATAACCCATTGTTTCCAGAGGCGATTAATTTCTTTCTTCGAAACAATGAAGGTTGGCTTTTTTTCTCTCATTTTCATCCGCAGTTCTCACCACGTTTCTCTTGAAGGTTTTTTTCTTTTTGTGTGTGTGTGTGTAAACTATTCGAATTCCATTAAATAACCCGGAATTGCATGCACGTTCTTTGAATGCGAGTATAATTGGGAGGGAGAAAGAGAGAGAAAATAAAAATGTATAGTGTTTTCCCACCATTATGATTGCGGATTGAAGGCTAGAGGCTCAGCTAATCTCCGCGCAGCCTGCTGCCGTTTCGATCAGGTGTCACAATTCGCTGAGATGATGATGATGATTCGTTGTCGCTTCTGTTGTTTGTGTATCTCACACGCGCACTCGGATCTTATCACTGAATGTCCCTCTTTATGTTATGATACAACCGTTGTTGAACCGTATTTGAAACTGCTGCTTGAGGTCTTTCCGATCATCGTAGGTGTTACGAAACGGATGCGCGCGCTCTCTTGCTTTTATCGTGCAGCAGCAACAGCAGGATTCCTGACCTGCCCGGACCACGAGAGCAGGCGAACTGCGCGGATCCGAGCCGGGCCTTTCCTTCCAATCCATCCTTCTTCCATCCAAACCAACTTTGGGGCTACGTCGGCCGCGCTTGTGCTACGTGGCCGCTGCCCGACGATCCTGCATCCCGGACGAGGACGAACACACATATCTTCATCTCTTCCTCTACCATCATAACAACAACAACAACAGCTTCGTTTTGTACCATCATCATCATATTATTATCATCTTCCTCTTCGCTCGTATTATTATTATTTATCCTCGGCCCCTCGTAAACCATCATCAGTATCATCATCATCATGATCATGATAGTCGTAACCTTAGGAATTCGCATCCATCGTGAGCGAGATTGCATAACGCGCGCTCGAGCTTCGCAGAATCCGGCGAAAACAAAACAAATTCAACAATAACATAATTGCGGATTCAAATTCAAGCATAATTCCGAGAAAATTATTTTTTTTTCTCTCCTATCGTTTGTTCGCTTCCACTTGCATCCGGGTATTCAGTTTCCATAGAAACACAAGTAACCAATTTGACAAAATCCATAAAATTTAAAAATACATTTATTAGAATTATTGAAAAACAACGAAATTTTAAATCAAATATTTATATTCAATTGTCCTTAATTTTAATACTTGTTGTGTTTGTAATGCGATGCTTTATTTTGATGAAACTTTTTTGTGAGAAAATATCAATGTTTAGTAAAATGTACGAAGTTATTTTATCATTTTTTTTTTAATACTTTGTCGCAGTTGATTTGAGCATAGCAAAATTTCAAGTGGGAAACATTCTGTACATCAAATTTGTGGTATTTGCAATGACTCAAACAGACACACGCACACTTTTCAAATGCAATTTGCGTACGATATCAATCACGCCTTTAATAATTCCAAGTAAACTATGCTTTGATTACGAAAAGAAACAATGTGACTAACAAATGAATATTTATAATAAATAATCATTTTAAAAAAAAAAAATGTGCGGTTTACACGCAATGTGTAATATCCGATTTCTAAGCGCCAGAAAACAAAAATAACCTAAAATTGTATTTCGTTATTGATATTGAATTCAATATTTTTTTAACGTAACCATAGAAACTAAATATAACGAGTGTTTTTAAATAATTATGCAATAAAAAAAGACATTTGTTATTATTGTACTTAATTAAATATTCAACGTAACTATAGAAACGTCAAATAAATAGGTTTTATAATATTAAATATGATGAATTGTTTAACGTCGCTATAGAAACTGTGTATTTCCAAGCAGCGTTTAATTCGTGCAGTGGAATTAGTTTAAATTAACAAAGGACAGACGTCAATTAACTTTATTAACGCGGAATTCCATGCGTTTCGTGGAAACTCGACCGTAACAAGTTGACAGCGGTCGACATTGCAGCAATTAATTACTTTCACTCCGATGATCACCATCATCATCGGTTCCGAGCTTTCGCCGTCACGATAACTATCATTGAACATCGGTAATTAGTCAATTGGACCGGATACAATGTTGTTGTTGTTTTTGTTTTTTTGGTTGATAGATGGGAGAAGGACACGAAATTCGCATAGAAATATTGCGTTCCCATAGCGATTACGTAACAACGAAAATAACAAAAGCGAATTTACGCGATTATCAGTTTATCAATGGCAATTTCCGTTTTGAGAGAAATAATACAATTATTATTTATGGAGAAACAATTCTGTTATTAATCCGAGGAATGGTTGAAATCGATTCGAAAATTGCCTGAAAGCTTTTAAAGCTATAATTCATACAAATTGTTTCCTTTGATGGAAAGTAAATATTGGTTGTCCATACTACTCAAAATGTGACTACTTTAATTTCTTATAAGCATTATTCCGATCATAATCATCTATTAAGTAAAGTCACATAATTTATATTAAATGTCTAAAAAGTTTTAAAGGGAAACTGCGTTTCGACGTAGAAGTATTTCTTAAGATGTTGTTCCGAGAAGTACATGTAATAGTCGATAATTGCACGTGTTTTTTTTTGTTGCTTTTTCCGGGAAATGCTGCGAAGTGAAGAGAGTGGAAACGTACCAGTATTTGAGAACGAGCCAATTTGCAAATTGTATTTTCTATTTGCAACGAGAAATTGGAACAGTTAGAATGGAGAAAAAAAAAACAAGAACTGGGATGGGATGGGATTATGATACTGCATACGACGCGATCGATATTACTGCGCGCCGGAGGAGATTAACATTCCAGAAATATCCTTGTCGCACATGCAAACTCGTAAATGTCATGTCATGGAGAGCTAAGATGACCTGGAAACTTCGTACGTTTCCTTCATTTTCCGCCCATTGTTTCCCCCCCAAACAGCGTTTTCAAACTGTTGAAACAAAAGTCGCTAACCCAGTTCGTTTATTTAAAAAAAAAACAACAACTGTTAATCTTTGCATCATTGTTGCAGTTTTTTTTTCTTCTTTTTCTCTAGAACATAATTGACATTAAAGTATGTGCACTTGTGCGTTTCGAAACAATCGATGTATGAAACAAAGTCATTACCCGAATCGAGCGGGCTCCGGCCGGAATGCGTTACGTAATAGCCGGATCATGCAATCCCGGAGGTTATTTATCGAGCCGCCACAGGAATTCCAACAATTTTGACCTGAACCAATTCGTCGCAATCTAATCGCATGAAATTCTTGAGCGCTTTGACTATGTCTACCAAAAACCAGTTTTCTACGAACCCATCTATCCATCCATTACGTTTTGTTTGTTTGTTTTTTTCCTCAACCTACGTAGATCAAAGCATTTCTCAATTCCATAGCCTCGTGAAGGTTTGTTCACCTCCCAAACAATCCCAAAAAAAAAATACTAATATTATCTATCAATATTCCCATCAGTAAAAAATATATTTTTAATTCATAAATGTTTACTTTCACAATAGTAGCAAAAGTCATTGTTTAAATATAATCGCTTTTCCACGTCGCAGTATTGCAATTACCTAGAACGAAGACAGATTGCGAATCTTCAATTGTCAGCGAGGAAAATATAGGATGAAAAGTAAATTGCAGCAGTCACTGTGAGCGCCTCTCTTCATTACATTCATTACAGTCCGTGCGACGGCAATTTGCGTATTCACATTATCAAAGTCATATCAATTCATGGCTCACCCACGACCGTCAGAAGATTGTGTTTCCTGTCCCTGTTTATATTAGCTCTCTTTTTTATACGTTGTTTAACGTTTTCATTTATCCTCAAGGATTTACAATGTTTTAATGCCGAAAGGTAACATCAATTGAGGATGCATATGTTGAGCGCCAATCATAATAAACTATTTAGTCAATTCGGCTGAATCATTCGATTCAAATTAAATTATCGGACTTCTTTAAAAGGTTGATCTTGACCTCGTTTGGTGAGTGTTAATAGCATTACAATCATATCAATTGAAGCTGTTATTAATATATTAGAGACATCCGATATCAAAATCTATAGAATTTCAAGAGAAATCATATTTTAGTCAACATCATTGAAGTTATTTAAAACAATAATACAAATTAATGAATACTTAATTGCGTTAAGAAAATAACGTTTCCATGGATATTTTTTGTTTTTGTTTTATATCAAATGTCAATTATAATTATGACGGAAGTACAGAAATATTCGCGGACGAACGTACAAAATTGCAGCATGCCTCGCTGAAAATACTGAACAATCCAAAGGTATGCCCATTATTAATGTTATCGATAGTTATAATTGATTAATTTCATGATCATAAATAGTAGATAATTTTTTAATAGAAAATGCATTTCGCTGAAGTTGGATGAAGCACCATCTGTTGCAAATAAAAGCAATGTTTGATGAACATGGTCAATGGGATTTTATGCTTTTCCTAGGTTTTCTCTTTTTCTCTAATCGAATTTTACAAAATCCGATTAGGAGAACACGAGCGCGCTTTGCAAATCGTGTCGTGGCGAAAATAGTGCAAAATCGTTCCGGCTTCGCAATTTCGTTTGCTATTATTTTCTGCTTAAACTAATCAAACGGAATGAAAGTTTCGCGTTTTCTCTTGAATAATCTGTTCGTTCGGCGTTGACCCAGATGCATTGTGAGCGGAGTTAATTAATCCATTCATTATATTTTGTTTTGTTTTTCGCTTTCAGGAAAATGTCGTGTGAAATTTGCACATCGTTGAAGAAGACTGATTTTTTGTAATCACTGCCTGAACAAAAATAGTGGAGAAAACGTAAAGTTCGAGTGAGGATGGAGCAGGAGACGGGGACGCAATCTGCGTCGAGTATAAGTAAAGGGTTACTGATGGCGCCGGCGATGGCCGGTTATTCGAGTCTGGTGAAGCAGCACAAGAGGGCCGGATCTACGGGGACGACGGGCGATGAATCGTACACGACCGACGAGGAGGAAAACGCCGAAACTGATGAGCCTGATTGTTCCATTAAAGAGCACGTTACCAGCAAGCTATTCAATAGGACTACGACCTTCGGGTCTTTCTCGGACATCACCACCATCACGGATAAGGTTGGAAATGGGCACATGCACAGGAACAGCTCGGATAGTTCTGTGTACAGCGATTTGGGATTGGACAAGTGCGACGACATCGAATTCCTACAAAAAGCCGGAGAGAAAAACGACTCGGGAGATTGGGGAAGGAGCGTGGTGGAGCTGAAGGAGCAGGCTTTCACGAGACTGCAGAACGAACTCAAAGACGCGCATCAGGAGTTGAAACTCAAAGATGAAGAAGTGGTCCGTCTGACGCGAATCCGTGAAGAGGTCGAAACCGAGCTCGAAGATCTCACAGCAAGTCTCTTCCAGGTAATATTCTTTTTATTTACTAAGTTAGTCTTAATCACTTTGAAACAAATTAACGCAACAAAAATACCTTTAAAATTCTTCGCAGTTAATATTGCATAGTTTGCCGTTTTGAACCGAAATGTTTTTTCACTTTTAACTGTTAATGCAAGTGAGGATACAGTTAGGAAAACGTAACCTGAGAGAAGAGAATGCATCCCACCGGCTACTCGCTCAGATCAGGAAGGTCATTGCACTCTCTCTCTCTTTATGCGCTATCCGAAACGCACCTAGAGCTCAGTCCGAGGAATTCATCGGACGAAGATAAAACTTTCACTCCTCGGGGACAATTGAAACTGATGATTTCCTAATGCTTTGCTTGTAGGAAGCCCATAATATGGTCAGGGAAGCGAACGTGAAGCAGGCCGCTGCGGAGAAGGCTCTCAACGAGAGCCAGATGAAGGTGGAGGTGCTGTCGGCGGAAGTGGCCGCCCTTAAGACCCTCGTGCTGACCTCCACCCCGAGCATGCCGAACCCTCATTTGCACCCCCAAATTGGAAAGGAGGACGGTTAGTAGTAGTTGTTGCTGTTGTTGTTGTAGCAAGCAGCATAATGAATGATTGGTGGTGATAATGAACGAAAACTGTGGGCTCGTCGCTGTTTGTAGGTGTGCCGTTTTTTACGAGGAAACACCGCCGATGCCCTTCCCACTTCAATTTGAAATACGGCCGTGAAAACTCCCCGCCCGACTCGCCTGTGAAAGAGATCAACTCCATACTCACCGCCCAACCGGAGATCCAAAACAAGGATGGTCTCGAGGTACGTCGCTCGGATTGCTTTCGCTGCGATCCCAAGGTTCATCCTAAATCAATCCATTCACAGTTTTATTGATCTTTCACATACCCAATTCCGTCCAATTCAATCCAAATTGCACTAAAACATAATCCATTTGTTTGGAAGACATATCTGCATATTAATCAAAATTAAAAGCTCTAGATTCTGAAATTTTATGTAAAAAACAAAAATATCGTCAAAGAATCTTAAAAGAAAGAAAGATTTCATATAATATATTATTTGATTGTGTCAGGTTTCTTAACTTAATGTTTTGCTGCAGGTCGATCCGAACGTGCACGACGAGTTCCTCCTGTGGAAACAAGCTCCGACATTAACGAAATCGGATCCGTTCATCCAGCGCGTTTATTCGGAAGACATCAATCTCTGTTTGGAGTTTCCAAACTCGCAGCTGGCGCAGAAGGTGCTGGTCGCCATCGAATCCGGCTGTATTTTCATCGAAGCCGTCAGCGACAAAACGAAAACCGTCTTCCCCAAGTAAGTGTGCATCGGAAAATTTTGTTAAAAACAAAGAAATATATTATTTAATGTCTTTAGGAAATGTGCGCTTCTAGAGGTACCGCGACAATGCTTCTATCGGATGAATACAGGAGAGGAAGAGGTCTGGCATTCGATTTCGAAAATCTGCCGGAATAGAGTGAGTATTTGAAAATATATTCTTATAGCAATTCGATTTTTAATTATTTTTACTTTCAGATAATTGCAGTCTGTGATTTTTTGAATTATCTAAAATACATTGAAATGGGACTCGTCAAGAGTTCAGGTGAGTTCTATCTTGTAATGATTATTGTTATTAGGTGATTCATTAATTGTTGTTATTTATTTTTAAACAGCTCATGATATTTATTGGGAGATAGCAAGGCTCAGGAAGGAGATGGTGCTGGCACGACTTGGTCTGAGCGTAAGCTCTTGACACTACTGATACGAAAGTAGACAAAGTAAAGCTAATCATGAAGAAAGAAAGAACTAAGAAAAAATAAATACCTTAAGGAAATGAAACTCGTCGCCAACGAATGCTAACTAATTAATACAAGAACCTCTTTACTCATTTTGTAACGAATTTTTGGGAACTTCGCTTTTGTGGAAGTCGAACATATATACATATATATATATATATTTAATAGGAGAGATGACGAAAAATTGAGGAACCTGTGCCAACGTGTTTATAATAATTATTTTTTTATTGATTTTGTTTTCGTGTGTAAATATTCGATTCCTGTGTATATTATTACTTTCTCAATCTATGTTTGTTCCGTTTGATGTAAGATAAATTAAAAGTGAGTTCTTTATAAAAAAAAATATATATATATTTAATGAAAATTTAATCTGCGAACAATGCCAAAGATTGAATTCTTTTTTTTGTCGTTTCTTTTCGCGTCGTCTTCATTCGTAGTTTGAATCGGACGGACGTAATAATAGTAATGTAATTCAATGTGTAGCTACTTTTTATTAATCGTGTATATATCAAATTGTTTTTATTTTCTCTCTGTTCTATTTGATTCAAATAATTTGTAAATAAAATGAAACACATTCAATATTTATTTTGTTTTTCCTTTACCTGTACGAGTTAAGAAAAATATAAATTTAATTATTTCTTAATCTTATCTACGCGATTAGATCTGGGAATGGTGGATTAGGAAAGTGCGATTTAGATTAAGAGTGTAAAAATGCAGTTTGTTCAATTTAAAAATGATGTTCTTTTATTTTTTGTCTGCTGTTGAAAAATAAACACAGTTTAGTTGGTGGCCTCAGTTGGGCGGGCTGGAGCAGTGACAGGACGGTGATTCCTGATCAGATGTTCAGCATACTCTTGGTATGGAGTCTTGGTGAGTGGCATGTCCTTCCACAAGTCTGGGGTAAGGTATGCGTAGGTCTTGGCGATGGCAGCAAAAGTAGCCTTGGCGAAGTTTCCAAGGGTACCGGTGGAGCCACGAGCGGAGGTGTAACAATCCTCAATGCCGGCCATATGCAAGAGCTTCTTAGGGACTGGAGCAGACACGATACCGGTACCACGGGGAGCTGGGATGAGACGCACGGTAACGGAACCGCACTTGCCAGTAACCTGAAGAAAATACATTAGATAATATTAGCAAAATTGAAAATCTCTTAAGATAAATGGTTGTTTTTTAATAAAGTTTTCTGTCTTGGTAACAGTGAATTAACCAATTAAGAATGTAATTGATTAACATAGCAAGTACCAACGTTTGCTCTCCACAGTTTATAGGGAACGCCCAATAGCTTTAGTGATGCAGATACTGGGAGCTGTGCTGTGGTTGTATAATGAAAAGTAAACAACGATAATTACCTTGCATGGGACGGTATGGGGTTTACCAATCTTGTTACCCCAGTATCCTCTGCGGACTGGGACAACGGAAAGCTTAGCGAGGATGATGGCACCACGGATGGCGGTGGCGACTTCCTTGCTGCACTTGACACCGAGACCGATGTGTCCGTTGCTGTCACCGATGGCGACGAATGCCTTGAAGCGGGTACGTTGACCGGCACGGGTCTGCTTCTGGACGGGCATGATCTTGAGGACCTCGTCCTTCAGGTTGGAGCCAAGGAAGAAGTCGATGATCTCAAATTCTTTGATGGGCAAAGAGAACAGGTAAATGTCCTCCAACTTTTGGATCTTGCCATCGCGGACCAAACGACCAAGCTTGGTTACTGGTACCCATTCCTTCTGGTCTTCCTTTCCACGACCACGTCCACGGCCGCGACCACGACCCCTACCACGGGGACCTCCACGTCCACCGCGAGCACCTCCAAAACCACCACGGAATCCACCACGACCACCGGCTGGAGCTGCGTCCGCCATTCTAAAAAAATAAGTAAATATTATTTACCAAATTAAAATAAACGATTAAGAAATCAAATTAATCTTAGTTGCCAACAATGAAAACAAATCCAACCGAAAAGAAACAAGATGGCCGAGGCACGCGTGCCCACGTGCAAAAACCGATTGGATTATTTTCAGCAAATCACAACAAAAAATAAATAAATAAAACACAAGAAAACAATCACTCACTAATAGTGAAAATGTAAACAAAGCATTTACACTAAATTTGAAGATATTTGCGTGCATTTTAATGAAAATATACGGAGAGGTTACTTACGTATTAATTCTCCGACAAAAGTGTTTGACAGAAGAAAAGAAGCAATATAGGATTTCCGGTCCTTATATAATCTTGCCATACGCGAGTTTGCGCAAATCACATTGTAACTTCAGGGTTGCCAATACCCTAAAGAAACCTACCCCAGCTACATTATTCTATCTATTATTATTTAATTCATTCATTACTTTTAAATAGAATTGCATAATTTAAAAGACGATTATTCTAATTGTATTTCCCTTTGAAATTTGCCAAAATAAAAATAATTCATTGTATTAAATACAGACAATGAGTTGGTAATGTAGATATCTATAAGATATTTCAAATGTTTGCTTAAGGATAATAAAATGGGTAGTATGCGGTTTCAAATAATTTCTTTTGTCCGTTAACATTGAGAATAAGCGAAGTGTTTCTAACGGCGAATTTCACATTGTTAATTAATATAATTGTCAGTGCCGTCTAAATATATTTATACTAAGTAACAAGTAAGTAATACTCATTCAGTTATTAACTTTATTGAATGCATGTTTGTTCTGTATTAGGATGGAATCAAATTATGGCAGTAGCAGCTGCAGCATGTTTTACAACAGTTTGGCACAAGAAGTAGTTCGTTACAGTGAGGATTATGTTGAAAATGGAGTGGAGAAAATACTAGCTTGTTTAAAATACATAAATATAAGATGTACAGGAACAAAATGCCCATGCCGAGATCCACAAATGCATAGAATATTGTTGGATAGATTAATATCGCAGTTTCCAGGTTGTTTGCAGGATAAAGATGAAGCTCACATAGCATTTGTAGCAGGTAAAGAAGGCTATAAAATTATATCACATTTTTTTAAATTACCATTCAGAACCTTGATGATTTATGAAAGAATTAAAATGTATCCTGGTTTGAATGTTAATATTGTGGATACACTTAAGAAATACATTAGTAGAAACGTTGATGTTAAAGATAGACTTATTACGTTGATTTTCAATGAAATGTCTGTTGTTCCTCATTTAAAGTACGTGCCTAGAAGAGGTTTACTAAGTGGATTTGAGGATAAAGGTTATGCAAAGATGTATAAAAAAGCAGATTGTGCTCAGTTATTTGTGGTGAGGAGTCTCTATAAGAATTGGAAAATTCCTGTGAGCTATGTCTTTAGTAAGGGACAAACAAACTCTTCGACCAAAGTAAAATACATAAAAAAAATAGTGAGGAAGTTAACAGAAATAGGATTTGTTGTTGCAGCACTTATATGTGACGATAGTGGAACAAATTGTGCAGCAATTGAAATGCTTTTAGAGGATTCCACCAGACAATACATTGCAGAAAATAGGAAACCCAAGGAAAATATTATAAGAATCGATGAATGCGAAATTGTACCTATATACGATATTTCGCATCTCATTAAAACTGTGCGAAACCATTTATTAAATCAAAATTTGAAATTTGTTTTTAAAGGAGAGACTTTAACTGCTAACTGGGAGGACATCAAAACTACCTATTCAATTGTTTTAAATTCAAATTTAAGCTCAGGTTTCTTGGAAAAATTTACTACAAAACACGTATACCCAGAAATGATGGATGTTTCCACAGCAGTGCAAGTGTTTAATGAGAAAATAGGTGGATATATGAATCTTTTAATAGACTGTAAGTTGTCCTACCCAAATGGGCCACAATTTACATTGGAGTCAAAAGGCACGGTAGCACTATTCTACAATACTGGTATTTTGTATGAAAGTCTCAATATTGGTCTAATGAAAACTGGATATATGAAATCGAAAAGATGTATTGCAACACATCATTTGCGTTTATGGCATGAGGCCGAGGAAGTCGTGAAAACTATGAGATTTGTGAGTGGGGAAAATGAAATAAGACCACCGGTACTGAACAATATTCTGACGACAATAAAAGGATTCATCAATTTGCAATCAATTCTGTTGAAGAAAAGGGATATAGACTATTTGCCGACAAAACATTTTAGTCAGGGTTCTATCGAGGATAGTTTTCCTCAATTAAGACTAACACAACTAGCAATTGCAAAGAAATAGTTATGTTTTGCATTTATTTTTTGTAATTAAGAAATATCTTTATGTTCAATGTAGCGTTTATGTTTTATTATTATTGTATTAAAAGTTTATTTTGAATTTTTTGTTATTTCCAATATAGAATAGGTAGAATTTATAACTGTACCATTAAGTTTTTTTTAAAAATATATTTTCGTATACCAATAAGAAACCAGAATTTTTGTATAGAAAAATACACGTTTATTTTATGAAAAATTATGAATATATTTATTGTCCATCGCTTCCTATACATATTCTTCACCTGTCTGACAATTTTCCCAAAAAAACTGTTGCTCTTTTGAGGCACACCAGTCAACGAGCAATTATTGTAAGAAGTAAAGCGCTTCTAAGTTTAAATTAGTAATCGGACAGAGCCAAGTCTGGTGAATAAGCTCCATGCAAAACCATAAAAACTGGTCAATTTTGCTGTGTGTTGGTGCATTATCACGAAGCAAAATCACTTTGTGTTGCCTTTTTTGATATTCTGGTCGTTTTTTACGCAAAGCTTGATTCAAATCGATCATTTGTTGTTGGTAGCGTTCAGTGTTAACAGTTTCGCCAGGTTTTAGCAACTCTTAATAGATCACACCCTTCTGATCCCACCAAACGGAGCGATTTGGCTTTGCAGTCGATGTCGCCTGGAGTTACCCATGATCTTTCCTTTTCCCATCTTCTGGATCTTTCCCATAGCTTTGAAATCCATACGTTTCAAAGTCATGGCTTCTCGTGTCACATTTAATTGATCTGTGAGTTGAAATTCTTTTTAAGATGTGAACAAGGAAATGACACGGTATGACCATTTATAGACAAATTTCGGTTTAATATTTACATACCCAATAAGACATTTCTTCTTCAGGGTTACAAGTTTTTGAAATATTTGCTTAAAGATAATAAAATGTCTATGGTAATGTGTGTTGTTTCAAATATTTTCTTTTGTCCATTGACATTTAATTATATACTAACAAGAATTTCATTCAATTATTAACTTGAATGAATGTGGGTTTGTTTTGTATTAGAATGATACAAAATTGTGCGATTCTTTTCGGTTCGTCTTCCTTCGTAGTTTGAATAGGACAGAGTAATAACAATGATGCAATTCAATGTGTAGCTTGTCCTATTAAAAAGAAACAAATTTAATTACTTCTTAATCTTCTCTACACAATTAGATCTGGAAATTGTGCATTAGCAATGTGCGATTTAGATTGAGGGTGTAAAAATGTAGTTTGTTCAATTAAAAAGGATGTTCTTTTTATTTTTGTCTGCTGTTGAAAAATAAACAGTTTAGTTGGTGGCTTCAGTCGGGCGGGCTGGAGCAGTGACAGGACGGTGATTCCTGATCAGATGCTCAGCATACT